TGGGGCCGACCTTTTCTAACCCGTCCTTCCTCGGGGGAAGGCAGCATCGCTGCTTCCATAAATATGGACATGCTGGTCGCCTGGGGGAAACACCTTACTGCCTCCACACTCCTGTCGCAGAGGACAGTACGACTTTACCCCCAGACCGCCTCGTAGTGCGGGGTCTCGCTGCTCTTGGTCTGGCTGTTCCCCTTTGGCCTTCCTGGCATGGTTGGACCTTGTGGAACGAAGTTCCAGCCAATGTAGCCCGCGGGATCATTGCAGCACTCAAGCCCGACCACCATGTCAAGGTTGTAGCTTAAGGTCGGGAAAGCTCCCTTTACGGAGTGCTAGCCTGTAGGTCGTCTTTTTGACCCAGCTAAAGGGGTTCATGGAACATCATAATCACATCCGTACACTTCTATTGTGGTAAAGATCCATCTGGTTCGCGTAACTCTGAATCCTCGTACTCTCCGCAACCTAAGCTATTAGTCTCTCATATTTTGATTGTGCGAAGCGTTGTACCAAATTTCAACAACGGATAAGTTATCTGCTATGTACGCACGACCCCACGTTCCTCTCATATGTTCACTAAATGGCGTTCCGTGTTCGACGGTGTATTGGGTGAAATTAACTTTCATCGGCATGTGTGTGGTGAAGCCTATTCGTGAGAGCATCCGTGGGTGACAATAACTTAGCTATCCTGTTTTGGTTATTGTGAAGGTATGATGCTCTCGGTGAAAGGTGTGCATGCTTCAGATTGGTCAAAACTACGTCTTTCCCCCTGGAGATGCGCTATTGTTGTGTCGTTTTTCGTACGGCTTAGGTGGATACAAAACCGATTTTGAAAAGAAGCTTGTATTCGAAAAAGGCGAGGTGTCTGGGGGACTTGTGCTGCGTGTCATCACTGTTCATGATGAACATCGGATAAAGTTAACGTCTATTGCGTCAATTTTTTCCTATCCAAATGGTCGATTGTGCTCGACAGTGAATAAAGGGTTATACCGGTAGTCGTATAGACTGCTTTCGTCGTTTGAATTCTACTTAATGGTCACTTGGTGGTCTTCATACTTTTTTCAAGATGCTTTGTTGCACCAACGCCTTAGTAACCTGGTTTCATCCGTCTGCATGTTCACAGGACAGAAAATGAAGTGATAGGATTGGAAAAATTCGGTACTTAGAAGCGCACTATTTTGTTGATTGGCTACTGTGTCGTCACAAGTAACAGAATATGTTGTCCCTTATTGTTTTTATTCAAATGAGCGAACAAAGCGGAATATAAGTACAACACCTTTGCAATATTGTCACCGTGGCGTCTGTAGACCCTACTGCTGGTTTCCGTCCCGATGATATCCCTAGCTAGGTTGGATGCCAACATGTAAGGTGATCCAAAATGTACTGAACTGCACTTTAACCTGTCGCGGTACGGTGATTCTCGTTAGTCCGCATCGAAGCGGAGAGCATTGGAACTGAGTTCCGCTCTTCTGGAACCCCATCAATAGTGCATGGCGCTGGTTTTACTGGGACTTGAACTCTGATCTGCGGTGAGAGCGTGTTACCATCCACCTGCCGATGTAAGGTAGTCACCCTTGAACTATCGTTCCCAAACCGGTAGATATGTTTGGTCGTTCCGATTGGCTTACCCGATGGTCCAAAGGACAACCTAATATCCCCGGATGTGCCGAACGGTTGACCCACTAGGACCTCCAGTTCTGGTGCCATCACTGACGCTTGAAGCATGCCGGATTGGTTTTGCTCTGCGTGTTTGTGCCAGGTTTGTGTTCATATCATTCAGGTCACTAACTGACTAATAAATCTTCCCATTTACAGCATGTAATATGAGGTCTCATTCATATCCCGCATCTGACGTTTTTGTGAGCTTCAGAATAAACGTTGACTTGGCAGGTGCTGGTGAAACCGATGCAACAGTTGTAATTTCCCGATTGTAAAATTCGTACATGAATCTGTGAAGTATGGATTGCCCTCACCTTTACTTTAACCGAGCTTTCAGGGTGTCACGAGTACTGTGCCTGATAACTTTCAGCCCTAGTATGTAGTCGCGGATATATAAACCTCGCGTTATCACTAAATTATCCACTGAAGAGACACGCTCTTCCCAGCAGCTCGAATATTTTGTTATTTAACAGTGAAAACAACCGTATATATTAACAATAGACGTGCTACAGTCAACTGTAGAGTTCGTGAAATTTTCCGTTTAGACACCAGCTATTGTGTACATCAGCTGTTCCATAAATCACTTGTTTCCGTTGCCTACGCCTTCAGCTATCAAATCCCGTTGTATGTAGTGTATTCAAGCAAACCAGTAAATCGATAGTTGCATCATGTGGCCCACATTCGGTTAGCAGCGAATCAAAATATAGTTTCGGCATCCCCGAACTGGCCAGACCATTCTACAAGCTCATGTCCCATGGTATTTTCCTAATTGATTCTTTTCTGTCCGGATCGGTTGTTTTTTTTTCGTGCGAACTTTCGTCATCGTGGGTGACACAACAGTGAAGCTAACGGTGAACGCGCTCCATATATATTTCACAGTCTAACTGTGTTAGTTGCATACTACAAAAAATTAAACAGCATTCACACGTTGATGGAATGTGAACTTGCTCTCCTCCAATTTAGCACTTGACCACTAGGAATATTAATGAAGAGAGGCTTCATTGAACACGGTCACATGGTCTGTTAGGAGAAGCATTTCGTCACGTGCCAAGCAGCTAGGACAAGTTACAAACCAGCAACAATCGAGGCTGATGCCTACCCGTTATTTATTTTCCCTGCATCATGCACGTTTCACAAGTAGCAAGATCTAGTCCATTGTTCCTAGCCTAAAATGCCCGTATTTCCAGAAACCGCTGTAAAGATCGTGGAAAGTTGAGAGCAACAACTTAGGTGTCCACTTTCCCGGTCAATTTATTGTACGGATTGAACCAAGAAAGCTGTTTCGCTTCACACAGTATTGACCCTCAACTATACACCTCTTTTGAAGAGAATTATCCAAGCTCTGTTTTGCTTATTGTAGTCTCTCTCAAAGAACTGCAGGGAGGCGTTTCTGGTTCGCAATGTGTTTTAAAGACCAAGATGAAACACCATAAGAGAAATTCCCATCGCTTCTGATATGCTAGCTGACTTTCGATGTTGAGCAGCCTATGACGCCTTCTAGCTGAAATGAGAGGTTGGAAGTCATCATAAGTAGCTGTTCAACAGACTCACGTTACATTTTATAACATGCTAATTTGTTCGCCCCGTACGCTCAGAACGCCAATGCGATTGCGCCACTATATGGTCCGCACTGAAGTTTTTGCACTTTCTGCATGACTTTTTTGGTCTCATTGTCTTTTCTAAAGAGATAGTCTTATCACCTCTGTTTCCCAAGTTAGCCTGACTCCTGAGGTAGCAGGACTGCCTGTGTTGCCTCGCCAAGTGATGTCACAGTAGTACCTGCGAAAACGAAATCATTCGGTAAGGTGCACCAAGCGCCTAATTTCATTCTTGATGAATCAGTCTTCTTCGACGTCCTTCGTGCACCGGCACGCAATACTTGCGGGTTCTATCCGAGATCAACCTCCGGTAGAAGGATAGAACATAGCAAAGAAGAGTTGAAAACCGAGTTATCCTTTATGTGCATTTGCAGTCTGCAACGACCCGCTCCAAGCTGTCTGCTTTTGTGCCTCTTATTTTCAAGGCTAATTTGATTGCCCATATGTTGCAAACAGCGCATCCATGTTTACGTACTGCTACTAGGCCAGCCAGTGGTTAGTCTTGCCTCACATGAGTAGCTGCTTGTGCACTTACGATAGAACGACAGTGAGAACCTGTGCGAGATGTGTGCAGCGCGATAATATTTGCATTCCTAATCCACGATGCACCATCTACATGATTCGCTAACAAGGTGCATATAGGATTTTCAGCCACGAAATGGCGCGGCTTTCTTGATCTCCTTGTCTGAACCCCGCTTCATTAGCTAGATTAAGACTTTGTTTGGCCTTATGACACCAGCCAATGTGTACTTTTAGTTCACAGCCCCCATGGCATACCAAAGTGTGTCTGTTGTGCATCTCAGCGGCTTGTTCTGACTCAGGCCGTTTGTACCAATTACAACGTGCACGTACCATTCATCTCCTCATGTGCACTAGACGACGTCGCTCGCTTCGTCCCAGAACCCTGTTAGTACAAAGTGAGATCGTCCCGCATTTCTGCCAAATTTGACTGTTCAAGTCGACCTCACTACGTTGCCAGTTGCAGTTTGATGGTGATAAAATATAGTTCGCCGATTAAACTGGATTGGCGAGATCAGTTAGAACACATGAAGAACGCACTTTCTCTGTTCCAAGGGACAAATTGTGAAAACTCTTCGGTGGCCATCAAAGTATTTGACCAGATTTCATTTCAAATGACCACATGACCTGGCTACAACCCTACGCGTGTCTAGCAGAGGTGCGCAGTCTACGTAAATTATTGGCAAATAAAGTGGACTCGAGCAACACGGGATTTTATGGACTGCAAACCGTTCTTGTCGCACTTGATAGCTATAGTGTACCAATCCCCTCCTCATTAGAATAACAGAACAAGTTAGGGAAAGGGCGAGGTCGCCGTTCCACAGAATACGGAAATACGAACACCGTGCTACGGAAAGCGCAGTGGTGTCATTCACACAGCACTAGAGCGTTGGCATTAGGTTTGTGTGTATTGCTGTAACCTACTTCACCAAACTTTGAGGCTCATTCATTGTAGGTTTTACTGTTTTGAACTCCATTTAACTCAGGACCACGCCTTCTAGTTCTGACTTCCAGAGTTATTGGCTTCTCTGACGGGCAAAAAATCGACCGCCTATTTTTATAATGTTTAGTCTCCTCGCCACAGGCTTCATCCCAATTGGCCCAGTAGTTAGGTTGCCACAGGATATCGAGCGCAGGTGTCCCTAATGTGCCATTGTTTTCGTTCATCGCTTGAATAGATAATACACAGTGACAGAACGGCACTTCTCTTTGATGGGAAAGCATCAATTTGTTATGAAGGATCTCAGTGTGTTTTGGGGGCATGTCAAAGGTACTTAATGGGCTACTCCGCTATGAGTAATTTGGTGTATGAGGGCATGGTCGCACCAATATGAGAGATAACGACAATAAAGTAAGCCGCCTTACTAGCAGAACAAGAAAATTAGTGTGTATAAATTAGAGTAAAGAGTATACATATGTCCATTGCAGACGTGCTAATTTTGCGGCGAACTCAAACGTGAACAATTAAATTTTCGTCAGCTGCGTTAAAAAACTTGACAAATCATCATATAAGTTAACCTTACCCAAACGAGATGCCTTTTTGATGAGTTATTCGTAGAGTTATTCGTAAACCGTCCTCAAAAATTATCGTCCTGTCTACAGCACAAAAATGCCGCCAATCCTCTACATCCAGTAAATGATTATCATTCAAAATGAGTCGCGTAGTAATTCGCTTTTTTGTGAGCATCCATGTCTTACTATTCCGGGGCAATGGCTCCACAAAGGGTGTAGTTTCGTCGAAGACTTTGTGGAACCCTGTCTGTCGTTCTTGTCTACCTGGTCGAAGGAGAAATTACACCTCCAGAGCTGAATCACCTTAGTTGGTTTTGGTTACCGAGGCGGTCAGAAATTCCTACAGGTACAAAAGCTGCTCTTGATTCACGATTGACAGAGAAGAGATTAATTAATCTTTTTTACCGATATCTTTGATTCGATGCTGTAGTAGTCGCAGTAACAGGAGAGGCAAATGCCTAATATAATCACCTACTGCTCTCCTCATTCTTTTTTTTCAGTCCAGAAACGATAAATGTGCATTTGGCGGGTAACACGTGACACACGCATACTTTCCAATTGTTTCTAATCTAGATTTCATTCTGTAATGGGAACTTGTCTATACTGGAAAACGAGCGAAAACTTATCGTTACGATTTCCTCAGCTGTTTCGATTGATTCCAACAGACAAGTATGAAAGCTTTTCCTATAAATCAGCCTAAAATTTGGTAGGATTTTACTGTCTGACGACTGAAAGGGTATGTTTTGGTTTTTCGTGTGGGTTGTGCGTTTTCCCGTTGGGTCGCAACGTTTCTCTTTTTCTTCACCATCTGGTTACTTACGTTTTTCAACCAACAGGACAACCAAGTATTGCGTCACTCCTGTTTTTCGATCGTGCATACCATAAACAGCTAGAACTTTTGGAATAATCCAGGCACAGGATCCTTCTGACCATAGTTGTTGACGTAAAATTTTTCATGTAAAATTAGAGTATTGAATAGTTTATCATCACCAGACTGAGTGGATTGAGTGTGAAGCAGTTTGGATTCTGTGAGTTAGTGCTTCCAACAGTGTTGAAGTGTATCAGAATATTCTTTAGAATACGTTCCGACTCTGCGCATATCCCTTTTCAAATCCATCTTGTGTATTCGAAACATACGGAACGTAAGGTGAAGTTCATTGGTATTCTTTATTTTTCCCCTCGAGACGTTCAACAATTTGACTGTGGAAACAAGCACAACAGCCAGTAATGTTTCAAATCCGTCTCGAATGACCATCACTCACACAACTACGGTAAGGTAAACACAGAGTGTATACACTTCCCACGGTACGAAATTCTTTTCATCGCCTTTAGTAAACATACTCCCAGAACCGAAGAGGAAACACTGTCTAGTCCCGGAAATGTCTGTTGTTTCTCCCAGATGCAAAATGGTTTTGTGACTGACTGACAATGTTCGGTTGACTAATGCCTACCCCTCAGTGCACGTGCCTTGATCCTCTTCTCTACCGTACTGGGCCACCTACATGATGACGCCTAGGTTCTTTGTTCACTCAGACATCGAAAATCAGTGGTTTGTGACTGTCCGTTGGAACATGTAAGTTGACCGTCTGTGTGCGCTGGTGATGTAGACCACAGATTTGACGTCTCAATATGGTCACTCGAACTCATCGATGGAAAGCACATAGATCATAATCACCGTTGTAATGTGTGTCAGTGATTTCGGTGAAGCATGCGATCACTGATGTTTTCGTGGTTCATCTGACCGACTCTCCATCAGTTCCGCTACGACAGCACAACATCGATCGTTCGGCATCTGGTATTTGCATCGGTTGGCTGGTCTGCCTGCCGGAAATCAATGCAGTATGCATTAGCACCTCAACGGCTGCTTGGTGGAAGTGAAGTAAATGTTTGAGGGGGGTCTTGTTTATTTGTCTGTCTAATGGACACAGCTCGACTGCTCTTGAACTGGGTACGGTGCGGCCGACTGAGACCTGCAAGGCAAAACTAATTTGCAGAGTGCATGGTTTGGCTGCCGTAAAGCATTGCTCTGATAATGATATCTATAACTAAAGAATCAAGCAAATGTGGCAACTCAGGTCAGAATACTAGCCGTCTGACTGGTGTTAGTAGTGCTCAGATAAGATGGATACTAAGAAACCGCGAAAGGACCTGGATTCATCCAAAAAGACCATAAAAAGTCTCGTCTCCGTTCTTCTAAAAGCCTGAAGGAGATGTTGATAACGAATGCAGGTAATTGAATGTTTCTTAGACGACTGTATAAAGTTAAAGCAATCATCCGTTTTTTGCCTCTCACCCGGGTAAAGTTTAGGTACCCCTTGCAGGGGTCTCCTTGAAGGGGTTACCAAGTAAGTATCAAAAACAAATCAATGACTCACTCTACACCGATTCACTGCGTCAAAATATTGGTGGTTAATGGCCATTGATCTGTTTGCTGAGGTTGGCAGTTACTTGCAAACTTTTCATTCCCAGTCTCTGAGACGTAGTCGGCGCGCAGTCAAATGCGCCGATTGATGCTTTATTCATTAGGCTTAAATGGAGCAGGGCCACACTGAAAAACATCACATGTGAACGAACAGCGCGGAGTCTATTGCTAATAACGTTATAATGTGACGAGTTTTACATTCAGCTAGTGGACAGCAGGCTTAAGGGTACATATTTTTAGAGGCCTTCCGCTTCCTATATACTTTCTCCCAAGTCTGTCTATGCTATTCCTCGGTCTGCTGCAACAAGTTCTCGATTGGCAGTAATTTCTAAAAATTATAACATAACAACATTGCTAAGAAGTACACGAGGTCTCGTTTTCGACTCGAAAGTACAAATCATGAGAGTTAATATGTTGACCGATTTGGGTGTTTTTGGTAAACAGCTTTCACAGATGACCAGTCAATAAGTTGCGTAATTTTTGAATCAATGAATTGGCTACGGACAAGGTGATCGACCTGTCCGTAGCTGAGAGTAAATGAATGTTTAAAATAGGTGTAGCGTTCACACCCACCATGACTGAGGATCCTTGGTTACGTTCATGGCTCATTCTGGTGCTATCACTCTCTACAAATTCGCCTCACCCTTCTGTGAACTTCTGTAAAAAGTTTGTTATTGCATCTTCGGTCTTCCACCTCTCCGTCAGTATGCACCACCGAAATGGGCAGT